TGGCCCCAATTCCATGACTCAGCGTCTCTCCATATTCTGATAATATTTATCTCTATGCCCCACTTGTGGGTGATAGGTCAGTGTGCAACTGCAAGCCTCCACAGCCTTCCTGGCAGCCCAAAACGAAAAGGGGAAAGAATCCTACTGCATCTGTGTAAATGAGCGGCAAACCTTGTCTTGGGCAATAACTCCTAAAACTCTGGGTGAGTGACATCCCCCCTGCCAAATGTTTGCCAGTCAACAATGGATCTCTGCATACTGCTTACATCATATTCTTTTTTTTTTCTATCCACAATGGTACCCTACAACACCTGGGCCTCACAATCACTATACTTGGGCATTGGTTTCTCAGTATACATTAGCCTTGGGGTTTTTGTTGTTTTATTTTGTTTTCACCTTTCCTATTCCGGTGCATTGTAAGGTTAAAGTGCAGCCTTTGAGGTGATTGCAGAGCATAGAGTCATTTTCAGCTATTAGGGATGGCTTGGACTACTGTCAAGATGGCTACTCATTTTCTCCACATTCTTTGTTTTAGGGAATATGAACTTCTCGGTGAGTGCCCAGGCAGTGAAGTCCCAAGAGCTTTGTGGAAATAAGGTTGCTGAGGTCCCTGAGATTGGGAGGAAAGACACAGTCATCAAAACCCTATTGGTGGAAGTAAGTCTGTATTACTTTGACATGTGTTTCTGAGGCCCTAACAATAAAAAAAAACAGTATGGACATTCTTGAGGTAACAAAGGATAATTAATATCATACAGAATTCATCTGATAAGACTAATGGAATTTCCTATCCTTAAAGCATATATTATGAGAAACTTTGCTATGTAAACTTGTTAACTTTTGCATAGTTTTTTTAAAAAACATTAGGAGCCTTTTCCTTTTCTGATCTCTACCTCTCCTATAGGAGTCAAATATTTCTCTCACCTATTGCATTTGACTCTCTGCCTTTAGTATCCCTCATTTTCTCCTCAGCCAATATCCCTTGTTGTTCAATGTTTTACACATTTACACTAATTTGATAACAAGTAGGATTTGATAACATCATTTAGTCTAAACACCACCCTTCAAAGTAAATAATCTATGGTTGTCCTTTAGTCACCTCGATACTTAGCCCTCTTTTCTATTTTTTTTCTTTTCACCCAAGCCTGAAGGTATTGAGCAAGAAAAGACTTTCAATTCTATGGCCTGTACTTCAGGTAAGAGTCAATCTTCATAATCATTGTGAGAACAACGCCTCCCGAGGGTATATATTTCAAGTTACAATGCATAGTCTTACATATTATCTCCCATAATTTTCAGAATGTTCCATTCAATGTGGCATAATACTAAGTATTTCTTTATACATATTTTATAAATAGGA